ATGCAGAGGAAGTGTTTGGATTGGGTTCCTATGAGCCAACAGAACCTGGCAGTCTACATGCTGAAGAAGGCCAAACGGCGATGGAGGCGGAACCATTGGAGAGGCTGACAGACATGCAGAGGAAAAGTTTGCTTGGGATACGAACCATTCCCGCAACTCCTACTAGGCCATTGGAGGTGGATCAAGAAGGCCAACCAGCTGAAAAGAGAGAAGCCGAAGAGTTGGAGGAGGAAAGAGGAAGTAAAGTAGCCAGATTTGATCGTGAGACAAGCCCTCAGTCGAGTCCCAAAGCATTGTATTCCCCGTTGTATGCAGGCGGCGTGAATCAAGTCAACATGTCGCATGGTGATGCTTGTTGGGAGGAGGATGTTGATTGGGAGTTGATAGAAGACGAGATAGGTGAGTTCGAACCCGATTTTTATGGTGAACGACCTCCGAACTTGTCCCCAGAAGAACTAGATGAGCTTGATGCAGAGGCGATGAAGGTGGAGATCGAGAAGCTCACTGCTATGGGTGTTGTACAAACGCTTGAAGAGCAGGAGATGGATCCAGAGGGCAAGTTCATCGACCTCAAGGAGGTATACGATTGGAGGTATCGGGACGGCAAATGGAAGAGGCGCTGTAGAGTGGTAGCTCGAGAGTTCAGAACAGGTCCCTCGACAGATGAGACTTTTTCGCCTACATCTTCCTATGCTGTGGTCAGATTGTTTTTATTTTGCCCTCTTTTCTTTGGATGGAAGGTTGCAGCTTTGGATATTTCTGACGCCTATTTGACAGTGGTGCAGAAAGAGACCTGTTACGTGAAGATTTCTCAGTGGATGAAAGAGTTGTTGAAGCTGCCTGAGAACTCCCTATGGCAATTGAAGCGAGTGCTTCCCGGACAGAGGAACGGTGCTCAGAGGTGGTTCCAAGACTTTTCACATCATTTGCAGGAGTTGGGATTTGATTCATGCACAGCTATGCCATCTGTGTTGAGGCATCGCACGAAGAAGTTGGCTATCAATATTCATGTTGATGATGAATTGGTAGTTGGAGAGACGGTTGAAGACATTGAATGGGTGATTGGTGCATTGAAGAAGATCTACAAGTTGCAGGTGGAAGGTCCGATGCCGAAAGAATCTCTTGGAAATGGTGAGGAACTCAACTATTTGAAAAAGACGTATGTGTTCCAGGAGGATGGTGTCTATGTGAGACCCAATTCGAAGTTCACCGAGACTCTTGTCAAATTGTATGGTTTGCAAGATCGGAAAGACAAACAGGTGCCTGAACATAGCTTGCTTGGAAGTCCAGATACTTCAGCAGAACTAGACAAGAAACGGCAAGCTGATTTCAGGACTGGTTTGGGTACAGCAATGTACATGTCATGCTGGACATTCAACATTGCGTGAAGACACTGGCTGGATCAATGAGAACACCTACGGAACAAGCTGAGAAATGTTTGATCCAACTTTGTTTGTACCTCAAAGGAACAGCAAATTTGTCATTTCGGCTTCCATACACACCAGTTGGTACAAGGATGTCAGGAAAGCTGAACAACAGGCCGGAGCATGAAGTTGAAGACAACATACATGTTATGGAGGTGTTTTGCGACAGTGATTGGGCTGGGGGTGCACAGAGGAAATCAACAACATCAGTTATTGTGCTGTTGAACGGACTTGTAGCCCTCTCGTACAGTCGAACACAAAAGGCTGTTGCATTATCCTTATGTGAGGCCGAAGTTCTTGCTTTGACATCTGGTGCAAGCGAGGCAATTTTGTTGAAAGAGGTTTGGTCATTTTTGGTCAATGGTGAAATCTTGCTGGAGGCCAGGAGCGATTCGTCGAGTGGCAGGCAATGGTTGCAGAGAAGTGGCCTTGGACGTCTCAAGCATATAGATGTGAGATTGTGTTGGTTGTGCACTTCTTGCTCAGGCTTTTAACATGAAGGGGTGTGTTGAAAAGGAAGAGGAGGTGGTAAGCGCCGAACAAAACCAATTTTGGATGACAGTTGCAATTTGCATCGTTCTTGGATGTTGCAATTGGTTGTATCAGCATTGGGAGCAAGTTGTGGCAAGAGTTGGTCGTCGTGGCCAAAAGCGGCCTAGAGGAAGTGGAGACGCAGTGGAACCAGAGACCAGGTCTGTGAGGAGAGTGGTTGCAAATGAGAATGTGGAGCCAGGATCAAGTAGCATGGTTGGACCAATGACCTCGACAGGTCACATCGAACCACGTCCCCCGCTGTTTCCACCGATGCCCATTGATCCTCCAGAGCGGTGGGCACCATGGTCGCCTGAATGGTTCACCTATTGGATGTTGGGGAGAGTTGAGGCCAGAATCACAAGGCGAGCTGGCCGAATGGATGAGCGAGAGAGAAAGAAATACATGAAGAGAAGAGAGATTTTGCGGTCAGTTTTGAGAGTTCTTGAACAGCATCCTGGAGAAGGAGCTAGGAGGAGGGCTCACGAGTTTTGTCAGCAGATGACAGATCTTTCTGTGGATGAGGAGAGTCCTCAAGCAGATGAAGTGCCAGATCTCCCAGAGCCTGCAGCTGAACCTAGTGGAGCAACAGGAAGTTCATTGGAAGGCATGGGAGAAGAAAGCGGATACTTTGAACAAGACCGAGTTCCTGGAAGGAGTTTGGAGGTATCCAGCGAGGCGGCGGCAATGGCAAGACCTGATCGAGAAGAGACTGATGAAGAAAGCGAGATAGAAGACTGCGAAAGCGAGGACACAAGGGTGGCCAGATATTTGAACAGTGGAATGGAAGAAGTTTCTGATCCTGAGATGTGGATGAATCTACATTACCTTTCCTCTGATTCCGAGATTGACAATGAGGAGGAACAGCCGAGTGGATCAACAGGACATTGATTGTCGGTGGTGGATGGATTTTGAGTTTTGATTAATTTACAATTTCAATGGATGGATAGGCTGACTGAACCATCTGAACCAGCAGCCTATACATCATGAAAGTTTTTGTCGAAATTGCGCAAAGCACCGGAACAGGCTATACTTGATGTATAGATGAACCTTGGTTGGATGGACTTTTCCTGTGACCACTTTGATGAAGTGGAATCCAACCATAGAGCTTGCGGCAAAATGCAGGCTAGATCGCCAGATTTTGAGGCGGCGTGTTAGTTTGTTTCAGTTCACTGATGTGCTTGTACATGAGTTGAAGTGTAGTATCTGTTCTTATCTTACTTCGCCGCGTAGCGTGTGGGTCCAAAACAAGGGCGCTGCCTAACAAATGAACACATTCGTGAGCTGGAGATGACAAGAGATGCTACAGCTGCTACATTTCGAGATGAGGTCAGGTCGGGCCGCAATACATTGAATGCGGTATCTCCAGTACCTCCTTGGGATGATGCGCCGAAACAAACCAAAGGCCTTTCATGCTGCAGTCATCACTTTCAACAATGGGATTGAGAGTGGTAGCAGTCTTTCGTTCTTTTCAGACAATGAAACAACTTCAGGAAGCGAGTGTGAAGTTGAGGAGAACGCCAATGAAGGTTCAGATGTTGGCGAGAGGCCAAATGAAGCAGATGTGCATGGACCACTTGAAGAGAGCCTGACGCTTGGATCGCTCACAACTATCCCATGGAGGGAGACGAAGAAGAAGAGGTCATAGTATAAAAAATGATGAAGGCTATGACGGGTGATGAACTTTTTCATTTACAAGTTCGCTCAATGCTCGCGGCACTGAGGAAAACATGTGGGTTTTGAGTGAGGTGTTTCACGAATTTGGAATGTTTGATGTAAGGGTCCATTCACTTCATGAACCCCTGCGTAAGTAAGGATGACACGTACAGCTGAGGACAGTGAAGTATCTGTTCTTATCACCGTCACAAGTGGCTCAAAACCAAGGTCACAAAAGGAACGCGTTTCGTGAAAGGATCACAAAATTTGACAAAGATTTTGTCGCCGCACGGAAGTCCCAGAAACATCGAAAGCAAACTGGAAAACCGATTCTTCCTTTGCTGGAGAACGATCAAGAGACAGAAACCGATGGGACACAGATTTCCAGAAATTGAATTGAGAATAGTGTCCATGTCACTCCCGCGAGGTTCTTCAAATGCAATTCCAACTTCAGGTTCGTTCGTGTGTTTGAGAGTTACGTTTCACTGCAGCATGGGCCCATCTTGAGCTGATAAAACGGGCGTAGATTCCGAACGCATGCTATAGATGCGGTGTGACTGGTTGTGTGTTGAACACTTCTTCCCAGTGGGCTCCGACGATCAACATTTTTCCAAGATCTGCTCCTTGTAATGCCACCGAAACGGCCGTCGTTTCACAAAAATTGCCAATCACTAAATAATGTAAAGTACCATGTACAGCATGTCATCAAAATCCAGTTTAGGGCCAAACACACGGCCATCCACCATAGGTCCTCCATCGCGTACCGACCACGGTTAGATAGGGTTATTGCTGCTTCCGCCCCTGAGCACCTCCCCCGGTCCTTTGCCCGGGATTTGCAGTGCTCCGCTACCATGTTAGGCAGCTCGCATTTTTTGATCCGAAGGCGCTTCACAGTACGAGTGATAAGAACAGATACTACACGCATCTATGCACATGTCACATGCCAGTAAACAAGAACACCTTAACAGACCTTCAAACCTGGCGCAGTTCAAGGTTCAAGTGAAAAGCAAACCGTGCTTGAATCTACCGTCGGGACAGTGATACTGACACACACTGAGACCATTTAACTTTGTGAGCAACAACTTTCCGCGCGTCCGCAATTTTCAAGTGCAACTCACCCAGCCGGTTCAAAGAAAAAATTCGACATGTTTTTTAGCATCGAAGTTGTGTTAGTGCCATGTGCAGTTTTGCCTTGTGTTTGTTGGTGAACATTTTTGGCTCGAGTTAGAGTCAGCGTTAGCATTGACATTTGGCATGAATAAAGTCACAAGATGTCACAAGTCTTCAATGCCGGGCCAAGAGATCACAAGGCTTAGAGGGAGCGAAGGCACCATTACAAACACTCTATACCCACCCTTTGGGCGTGAATTTGATCTCAGCGTTGTTTCTGCGTTACTTCGGTGTTGAGATTCTTTGTTTCATGCAGTTTGGGTCGATGAACGCATGCTCAAACAATGTTACCGGCTGTGCCCGACAGCTTTGCCTCAGCCTTGGCAACAGTTACTGTATAGGATTTGGTTTCGTAATTGTTTCAGACATGTTTTTCGTTTGGAAGGGTTTGTGTCAGACTGACATGGTTTCAGGTGTCGATGTTGTAGCAACTTCGCGATCTCACGAGAAGAGAGTGCGGACTTTGACTCGGATTTTGGGTCTGACCAGGACAGCTCCATTGTCACAAGTAGCACTGTTAGATTTACATGTCACATCGCATTTCTTCGGGCGAATGAGGAGTCTTCAGTGCGACCACTGAAAGAGAATGATGTAGTTTCACCAAAGGCTTGGTCTGAAAGGTGGGGTCGGCCTTCTAATGAAACTATCAAGTTCAGCCTTAGTGACTTCCAAGGTGGGGCAGCGTGGAACCAGGATCTCTTTCCGGATCTGTCACAGCGACAGCATGCTTTCAGGCCATGGTTGGGGCTCCATTACATGACTACGTGTTGTCTAGCCTGTCACAGAGTCTAGTTTTGGTGTTCTGCATGTGTTTGTTTTTGCATTTGGTTCGTTGGAAGGAGTGGGACGGAACAGATGATGAGGAAGATGACCACCGTTTTCAGGCGCATGAACAAACATGTGGGAGCTGAGGAGTTCATTCATGTTTTTAGTCGTTCTGATTTGTACCAATTGTATACGCCTTTCTGAGACAACATTGACCTTCCGTAAGTAGTTATGTTAGTTGTTTTGCATGCAGTGGCATGCGGAAAAATTTGCAATTTCTTTTGATGTGTAGTGCAACAAAACCCTTTCCCCTCAAGATCCTCCTGCCTGCTTCATGTGTGCCACATTTTGCGGTCAGGTATCCACACCTGAACGTATTTCAACATTTTACACCCATGCAGCTGTGGAAATCTGAATACATTGTTCCTGCCACAGACACACAACACACACCACATTTGCAAGTCCGATCTGCAGTGGACCGCGCATATGATAAGAATAAGTCAAAGGGCATAAATTGTGTGGCATCTCAAATAGTGTCATATAGTATAGTGCTTAGTGACTGTGCCTTTAACGTTTATATTTCATGCCAAGGCAGAGTGCAATAGGCTGATGTCTTTATGGTTCTGCCTGCATCGCAAGGTTGAGTCATTGTCACGACCTGGTTGGTGTAGCAAATGCGACGCCTTCTTGGCGGGCCTGTGGCACCAAGGTGATACGATGGAGCACATTTGTAAACCAAGGTTCTTTAGGCTCTCAGTTTCTTTGGAACATCGAAACATTCGCCTGCAGGACAGAGGTGCTCCCTTTGCCAAATTCTTACTTGTGGCTGCCTCATTCCGCTTTTGGCTTGTGTTAGTTGATGGCTGTAACAGAACTCAGCCATACATCGCCTTAGCCTCAGGTGATGATTGCCTTGGGCATGATTTGTGTTTGTTTGAATGTACAACAGGCATGAAGCATGTCGGGCTCATAGGGATAGATCATATTTGTAGGATTTTTGCTTATGATCGTATGTGATGCGTATGGTTGTAGGAGTTGTTGGCTGAGGCCACAGCTGTGCTGAAAATGCCGGACCGTGTTTGGAACACCGGGTGAGGAGAATGTTTTTGACTGCTCCTCGACTTGGCAAGGGTGTCTGACATTTGCCACAAACGGGCTCTCCTTATTGGCATACTTTCCGGAACATGGCATTGAAGAACATACTGGGTAGGTAGGACTTGTAAGTGCTGCTAGTCTGAGCCTATGAAGGTGCATTTTTCAAACTGCAGGAGTGCTGTTAGCCGCGAAGAGAAGCTAAGAGTCAGGACATGCTGCAAGTTCTGCATGCTAAGTGACAAACCGACAGCAACTTTTCAACGTTTTGTCACGTCAAGATTGCTAAGTGCTGACTTACTGCGCTTTGATGACAGTTTTCGACAATCACTGACGCTAGGGTCAAGGAGCTGGAAGCATTGCTTGCATCGAGAGGCACTTCTACTGCCGTTTTGAGGGAAGGTCACTTATATTTGACTTGACTGAGGTGGCATTGGAGTGGTCTCACAACCATGTAGAGCAGATGGAGTTGAGGACGTGCTTTCCTATGTGCAGTCTCTACATTATGACTCTGGGTGATTCTCTTGGCTCGATGTGTTTCCTTTCCCTGGTGCGGAAACACTTTCAATCTCATGCGGTTGCAGCATTAAGTTCTGGCATGCAGGTCTGATATCGGCCGCGCACACTTTCCAGCGAAGCCTCAATGCAATTCCATCTTTCAAATCCATCTTGATACAATATGAAGTATTGATATATAAGTATTGAATATAATTCAACATGTTTGATCCCACTGAGTTTCATATCCTTGGCCAAGTCGCCTCCAGCTCACTTCTTGTGACTGAAGCCAGCATGATCATCCTGACAACCGTCATGATGGCTTTCAATTTGTGTGTATTCAAAGTAGATCATTTGTTTTAATACACAATGTTTTTTGTGATTCATTTTCTCTATGGGCGTCGTCCACACCAGTTGCTTTCTGTGTCGGCCATTCTTTGTGGAGGGAAGGTCTGAGTCATAATTCAACTTTAACATTTGAGGTACGTGATGAGGTATTGACGAGACTCTACAGTACCGATTTGCTGACAGGAGCCCAAGGCCAATCCCATCAAGCATCAAGGGCTTCACAACAAATTCGTCAACGATGCTCTGCAGGCCCTGACATTCTTGGATGTGTTGGTGGTAAAAACAATCTTATGGGAAAGGAACACAGAAAAAAAAAACATGGAGGAACCCAGGCCTTGAATTTTGACCCAGCCATGTGGCAGAACTGTTCCCTTCGGTGGACTTGTTGCAGGTGCCGGATGTGCAAGTTCAAGACTACTTGGAGACACAGCCCCTCTTCTCCACACACCTTGATATGAGTTTAGGTGAAATTGCCACTGTGCTGTTGCAACCATTGTTTTTTGAACGAGTGTTTCAAGCTGATGTGGGCGCCTTCAATGTTGCTGCTTCGCATTGGGGCCAAACCCAACAGAAGCAACTTGTCTTTAGATACTGCACTGTGTGCTCTGATTGCATGTATATAACTTGCAGCAAAGTTCAACGATGATCCCAATATTTGCTGCAGGCATCATCGCGTCCGTGCCTTTAAGTACAATGTACCTGTTCCTGCAGATATTCCTGCTGCCATCCGCTCGGTGCTAACTCTTCCTGAACATGGAACCTGCAGAGCGCTTTGTCGCTTGAAGACAAGCGCCAGTGAAGTAAGCGACCCAACTTGAAAGCTGTGTCAATGCAGCAACCGAAGACAAAGCATTGGATGCTTTTGTATTGTGCACATTGTTCAGTTTCGCTTCAGGTTGTCGTGACGCTCCAGTTTATCACCGAAGGTTTGCCTTTCAGCGATTCGGTTCGTTTGCAGGCTCGCAGAGTTGAGAAAGTTACGGTACGTAGACTCAAGTTTGAACTCTTTTCTGACAACTGGGATATTTTCAATAGGCTTGTTGTTGGACTGCGTCCAGTGAAAGTGGGAGTCTCCTTGTACTTCGTCCTTTCCTGGTTGCGGACAGCACGCCTGCCTCTGTATCTATGCGTCACCCTTTCCTTTGCACGAGCCATTGTACAAACCCTTGAAGGTAAGGAGGCCCACTCACGAATGCCATGAAGCTTTCCTTGAACATAGAGAGAGAGAGAGAGAGGGAGGGAGGGAGGGAGGGAGGGAGAGAGAGAGCGCGAGCTATTTCAAGCGTCCGAGGCTATGGGTCTGTCAGCTTGGTTCTGCAGCATGTGTTTCTTCCTTGTCTTGCCGTTTCAGCCATCGTCATTCTCATGCACATGCTCTTATCTTGCTTCCATAAAGCTGGGCGCACCTGTGCATTCTTCTCAGATACTTGTGTTGAAGCCTCATTGTTTGTACAGCACTATGTTCTATTGGTGCCTTTTCATCTTGCAATTTTTGCACGTTGTTGTTGCTTCCTAGCCTTTACGGACTTTTGCCTTTCTGACTTTTGATTCTAGCTTCCTGTTGCTTCCTTTTGCTTGCAGGTTTCTTTTCCGCCTCTGTCGCCTTCCTTGTGTCGCCTTCCTTCCGTCCTTGCAGCTTTTTCAATCCAAGTCACTCGAAAGAGACACAGGGATCGCACGGCCCCCCATGGCGAACCATTTGCATATTGGCATCTTGTAGTGGATAATGTCTAACTCTGATTCCGCAGCTAAGGGGCATTGGCCGAGGTTGCTTTGCCCTGCCTTAAAAGTCCAGTGATCTGTGGCATGTCCAGTCTTCAGCTTACTTCCTGAGTTCAGTGAGGGCAGGACGTGTGTGTGTGCCCCTTGTAGTCACAGGGATTCTTTTGAATTGTCATTTTACAGGGGGTGGTAGCAAGGCAGAGAGTCTACCACCAACGAAGACACTCTCTCAGCCTTGGTGATACTGGGACTGATCATCCAGCGTACCTGCATCAACTTTTAATCTTTTGGTAAAGTGCTAATGCATCTGCAGTCATGCACGGTACGCCGTCATCCTGTCGTTTTGACCTCGACTTGCGCTTTTGGCCCCTTCTCCTTTTGAAGACCCCCAGGATCCGTTGGTTCTTATTTGTACCCTTAGGAAATGGTAACCTAGGCCGGCGTGTGGCATGGCGTGTGGCATCGCTGTCAAGCCAGTACGCATATCTTTTTTTTCGCGTGTCTCTCCTAGTGAGAGCCCAGGATGAGCCCGTAGAGTGCATCCCGTGGACCCGTCGAACCGGGTTTGTCTTCGTCCCTGCGCCCGGGACCAGAGCAGCTCGCAGCGAGCGTAGGTGGCCCAGCCCGCAAGTCCAATAATTTTTATTTCATTGTGGAATTCCCAGCTGGCTCATGCCTTTACGTGACCGTAGCGGTCAAAGGTGGCAGCCTTCGGGCAGGCCGTACGTGGTCGCAGCGACCAAAGCTTGCTCAAGGTTCATTGGAACCTGTCGGATGCTTGGGTGCACACACAGCGTACACACTTTAACGAGGCTAGGTCTTCCTAGGTGTTTTTAATGAGGTTTGGTTTCGTTGGTTTCTGTCCCCTTCATTTGGTTTCCCCTTTCATCTTTTTCTCCTTCACACACATCTTTTCTCCTCTTTTCTTTCATGTCCTCCTGTCTTCATGTCTTTCATTTCAGACAGGGTAGTCCGGCGATCCCTGGAAGGGCGATGGTGTGGATTGGAGTGAGGCCAGGTGGAATGTGGCTGTCGTGGTCGTGGCGTGTGCTCGTGGGTCCAAGCAGAGGACCGCTCAAGGACAGCTGGGCGGGGCGTGGTAATGTGGCCAGGTGGGGGTCTGGGGATGGTTCCACTGGTCGTGGGGGAGGGAGTTGGGGAGTGTTGTGTGGAGATGTGAGGTGCGGGGGTGGGGAAGGTGGAAAGTGATGGGGGCCTGTCCAGACCCTCCATGCATTTGGTGGACGAAAAGTTGATGTCGGTGGGCGTGTGCCCGGAGGTCGTAGTGCCAGGTTCGGGCGGGGACCGGAATGTTGATGGGTGCTGAGGGGTTCGCTGATGTTGCAGGGGGTGCGCTGGTGGTTAAAGATGGTTCGTTGGGAGGGGGCTGGGGGGGGTCTGTCACTGGAGGACCCGTGGCGATCTCAGTCCCTGGTGGCGGGTTTGATGACGTCGGCGCCGAGGGATCAGGTGCATCATCCGCACTGTAGTCAGGGTCATCGGCGGGAAGTCGATCATGTGATCTGGAAGCCGCGCAACGGTCACGTCGCCATCATGAACAAAGAATGAGTCTACGCAGTGTAAAATTAAAACAAAGATAAGTGGAAAGATTGTAATCAGAAGGTGAACGTAATGCATCAACAAGACAAAGATGTCATACGTGCTAGAGCCGAGGGCAAAGGTCAAGTAAACGTCCAAAGTGGTTGCAACTGGGTAGAATGGAGAAATGCGCGAAGTCATGGAAAAATAAGAACAGCGGATTTTCTATCCGAGGTCGATGGAAGAGTGTGGTGAAACATACGATCTAGTGCGGGGTCAAACGAGGTCGAGAGCGTGACCGAGAACGAGTAGAGTCATCTCGGGGTGCAGGTCCTGATGGTGGATCGCGAACTGAAGTGCCACCTGTTCTGGTAATCGAAGAAGAAGTCGTGATAGGTGGAAGGGAGGAGTTACGGGGGGGAAATGTATGATGGGGTCTGCCCTCGAAGACTGTGATGCCATCAACAGTGGTAATGGTCGACGTAGTAGAAAGAGGCGGACGGTCCGCGAAAGCTGTGCGGCCTTGTAGTTCAGCTTCAAATTGTTCCGGGCTGTGATGCAGGATATGTAGCAGCCCCAGAGCGGTGAGGAGTTTGTGGGTGTAGTGATTGGCGGTGTGGTTGACACGTAGTGCCAGCAAGAGGGTGTGGTCCAGACCCTGAAGCTGAGCGCGAAGATGTGGATGGGTCATCCGATCAAGGAGTGGAGGGGAACGAAGTGCAAGAGGTTGTCGAAGAAGAGTATGGATGTGAGCCAAAGAAGCATGTACATGAAGAAGTTCACGATGTCACGATGTAGAACTGCCTGCGCTACCATAGGAATGCCCTCGGTCGGAGTCAAGCCGCAAGGTGGTGGGGTCGCGCGATTCATAGCGCAGAAAGAGGCTAGTAAAAATTGAGTCGAATCTATACACGAACTGGGAGCCAAGGGTCATGATGGTGAAGTGCAAAAGTCAAGTACAAAAGTGAAGTGCAACTTGTGAGGAACACTTCGAAGAGTTGAGAAAATTGAGGAAATTGGCAACTGATTCTTTTCCGGTCGGGAGTCGGGGAGAAAGAATTGGTGAAACCTATCGCGGGGTCAGTCGTGAGCGAGATCGAGAGCGAGTCGACGAGTGGTTGAGGGCGGGGCGAGGCACCGTGGTGGTAGTAGAGATACGACGATGAGAAGTCACCACAATAGAGCCTGGTCCAGTGGTAGGCGTCGAAATGGTCGATGGAGTCAAGCTCAATGTAGAGGACATAGAAGTCGAAACGAGGTCTGGCCATGAAGTTCGGCAACCAATCGTGCATGCTCAGGGTCAAAGCGGGTGATGTGCATCAGGCCAAGAGTGGTCAGCAACTGTTCAGTGTAGTCGAGAGTGGTGTAGGTAGCATGCCGGCTCTGGCGAATGCCAGCTGCCAATCCGCGAAGTTGTGCCTGAAGATGAGGGCAAGTGATGATTTCAACCAAAGGGGGAGCCGAAATATCCCAAGGACCACGAAGAATGGTGAGGATCAGCTCCAAGGAGGCGTGTACGTGAAGAAGTTCACGATGTAGCGCAGCTTGAGCCGTCATAGGAATGCCCTCCATCGGTGCCAAGCCAGCAGGGGGAGGGCGAGGGGGCACGTCAGGTGGATTCAAATGCAGCGAGCCCGAACGGTGCATGGCGACGGTGGCTGGGAAGAACCTAAGGATGGGACAATGTCACTAACCTGAAAACAACAGGACGGGAAACTAGGCTAGGGCCAAGGGAATCAAAGTAGGATCCAATGTGAGGAAGCAAAGATTGATTGAGGTTGCAACACAAATCAAAGCTGTGTGAAAAAACGGAAGAGTGATTTTGAAGTGCCGGCATATCAACGAAATGGGTGAAACTATAGAGCCCTCGGATTCAGGCATGAACGAGAGCGAGAGCGGTCCAAGGTGCCGCTGAGGCCAGCGCTGGGGCATGGTCCTGTGGTAGTAGCAACCGTGACGCCGCGAGGTCGTCGTCCGCGACTGTGAGTCATTGAAAAAGTCGTAGTCCGGTGTGGATGTAGTCGCAGTCGAAGAGGATGGAGGACGGGGTGGAGGACGGGGTGGGGGTATGCGATGATCTCGAAAAAAGGTAATGCCACGTAGTTCAGCATCCAACTGATTGGAGTCGAAATTCCAAGTGTGAATCATCCCAAATGTAGTCATCAACTCATGATTATAGTGGAGAGCAGTGTGGGTGGCTTGTGTCGCCTGCCGAATTGCAGAGTCAAGTCCGCGAAGTTGCACTTGAAGATGTGGGGAAGTGATGCGGTCCATAAAGGGAGGGGAAAGGATTGCCAAATGAGTGCGAAGAAGTGTCAGGGTGTGGTCCAGGAAAGCATGTACATGAAGAATTTCACGATGAAGTACGGCCTGAGCCACCGTAGGGGTGCCCTCCGTCGGTGCGAGCTGCTCTGTATCCGGGCAGGGGATACGTTCGACAAACCCCCGTTCGACGGGTCCACGGTAGGCACTCCACGAGCTCATCCCGGACCTCACTGGGAGAGACACACTTATAGATATGCGTACTGACTTGACAGCGGTGGCGCACGCCAGCCTAAGTTAAAACCTGAGAAACCAGGACAGGTAAAGTATGGGGTTCCAACCCTCTCAAAGTCTACGTGACCTCCAACTCCAAATTGACACATCCAAAGCGGCAAAGCACATCTGCCGATGATGAACCGATGCAAAGGCTGGTCG